CATGGATCAACTTTTCTAGACTTTTGTAAAGCAGTTCTGTAGCAAATACTGTTTCATGTCTATTCTCTCTCTTAGCATATTTAAGGTGAATCCCAGCTATTGCTACCTCTGTGGGTAGCTTTTCTTTGTTGGGGAGTATTCCATTGTATGGTTGCATTGTAATTTCCCCATAGCTACAGATAGACAGCTGTCTATTACGACAGAGCCCACAGGTCTTTGTGCAGATGTCTGCTGCCACTTCTCTTAGGTGACCTCTCATGGAATGACTGGTCATATGGTGGGCATGTGTTTTTAAAAACAGTTAACTGTTTTTGCAAAGCTCTCATGTTGCAGAAATCTGATCTTCAAGAAACCAAACAGCTCTAATTGTTGGAAAGCTCATCTTTGATTATGCTGGCAGGCCCAGCCAAGCTTATGCTTTGAGGAACCCTGATCCACGGTTTATTACAACATGTATAGGCTGCATGGCATCACCTTTGTCTTGCTGTTATTGGTGGGGTTAGCCTATATGACTAAGAACCGTTGATGAAAGGGGTTTGAGTTTTAGCCGACATCACTAAGGTCAATGAGCAATCATGTTTACAGGAGCAGAGACAAGGGGATTATAACAGTTATTTCATGTCTAACTGTGGGGATGGGGTCACTGATGCAGTGGCAAGCAAGATTACAGAAACAAAACAGCATATATTACTCAGAGCCATACATGCAGTAAGAAATTTAAACTCACTTCAATCCTCCTTATTAGTTATGCCATGGGCATTTCTACAGTGCCAGGGAATGTCCCTTACCTTGTATTCTTAGCTTACTTTGCACCATGAGTCTTTTTCACCACGGATGTTCTGATACATTTGTAGTGATAGCTCATTTTGGTTTGAATTTGCATTTCTCTAGTGACTAAGATGCCTTGACAGTTCTTATCTTGGTCAGCAGCATAACTTCTTGTCAAAATGTGTGTTCAAGCCCCTTTTCACATTTGAGTTTTTACCCCGTGGTTGAATTTGTACAGTCCTCTCCATCCTCTGGAGACATACGTGTCTGCTTATTCGTTTATTTTTTTGTGGTGCTGAGCGTAGAACCTGAGGCCAGTCCCAGGCAGGTTACAGGCTCTTTAACAGAGCAGTGTATTGCAAATATTATCCTGATTTTGAATTGTTTCCATTATCTTAGTAAGGCCTTCTCAAAGAGTGGAAGTTATTTGATGAAGTCCAGTTTTCAGTTTTTTTTTTAATCCTGATTTTAGTGTTAAGACATTTTTTACCAATCCCAAGATCACAAAGGTTTCCACCTAAGTTTTTCTCAGAAAACCTTTATATCATAGACTGTACATTTGTTTATATCATCCATTTCAAGTCATTGCAGCAGGAAGTGGATTCAAGGTCCTTGGTTTTTTTCATGTGACTCTCTCCGGCACCACTTGTTGGAAATGTGATCCTCCCTCTACATGATTGCCTCTGCAATTTCCCTGAAGTCAGTTCAGCTGTGTGTTTACTTCTGGACTCTGCTCACCTACTATGATGCAAACTTTTCCATGGCCTGCAATTTAGAGCTGACACCCCGACCTTCCAACATGACAGTGCTGACTGGGCCAGCACACCTTTCCCTGTCTGTGCCCTGCTGCCTCATGTCTGCATACATGCGGGTGTTTCTTGTGAGCACGTTGCCTTGGGTCTTGCTTTCACATCCAATTTGACCATTTCTGCTTTTCAATCGAGGCATTCACACTATGAATACTTAACACGAAGACCGCTTTGATTGGAGTTAAGTCTACCAGCTTGCTCCTGGTTTCCTACCCGCCCCCATGGTCTCAGTCCTTTTTCAGATCGAGTAGCTTTTGTTTCATTCTGCTCCTCCTCTGCAGTGTCTCATTGCTGTTCTGTTCCGTCTGCTGCTTCATTGTATGCGGTATGCACCCTCTCTATATCTGCCGTCACAGATAGCGTTAGCCTAACATGTAGCAGGAACACTTGACTAGAGGGCACTCCCTTTGGGCTTTTGGGCTGCCCACCCCAAATATCTTGCTGTGCACATTATGAACTGGAGAACCCATTGCCAACTTGAGACTAGAAGACCATCCTTCAATAGAGTTTTAAACAGTGAAGAAAAGTTCTTCTATTATTTTCATCTCTACCTTTTCGTCTTCCCTGGTGTGAACACAGATTTCCAAATGCTCTCATTTAGCTTGTGATTGAAGAACTTGCTTCTATGTTGAGGGGCTACTGGTGATGTGTTGTTCTCTTAGTTCCCTGTGTCTGGAAGGCCTGTTTCTGTGTTGTAAGCTCTTTTTGCTGGGCAGAGCCTGACCAGTCAGTGGCTCCTTTGGAGTCCATGTTTTGCAGATGGTCACTTGATCTGTACCTCTTGTCTGCACCTCAGAAGAGGGTCTTCTGGTTGAACTTTCTGTACAATCCCTTTGGCGGTGATGTTGAGCATTGCTGTGGCCTGGGTGAGTTTCCTTCATGGCTCTCCTTTCCTTTTCATACGACAGTTTAGAGTTTGCATCCAATTGGGACGACAAATTCCTCCACCTTTTTTTCTTTCCCTCTTCTCTGGGAACCTGCTGGCATGTAAGTTCAATGGCTCGAATCTCACAGATAGATAATCCTGTTTTGTTTGTTTGTTTTGTTTTTGGGGCTTTTTTCTTGATTTCATTTCTAATATGCCTCTTCTTTTGAGATATTAATCTGCTGTCAATCCCAAGCAGTACATTTTGAATCTTAGGACCTAAATTTGTGTCTTTTACATCTTCTATGTGTCTCCCAAGCAAATTCAATCTCCCTCCAGCCTGCTCTCTGTGTGATAGAATGCAGTTATGATGACTGTCAAGGAATCTGTTGCCTTGACCGTCTGAGCAACTTGTGGGCCAGTTTCTGTTGTTTGCAGGTTAGTTTCCTGCCTGACTGTGGGATTTGACAGTAGACACTGTAGATTCACCCCCGAGACCCTTATGACCTGGGCTTCCTTCTGGAGAGGCACGTCCAACACCTGTTCCTTCTGACCTGAAGCAACTTTTTGTAGCTTAACAGTGAGCCAGCACCCAACCAGCTCTCTCTCACAGAACTGGACAGGTCGGCCCTGCTCACCACTCTAAGGCTCTTGTCATCATCATCTCTTAGCACACAGCTTGCATCCCTTGCTGCTGAGCGGGTTGCGCAGTTCAGTTCTGTCTGTGGGCAGCTTCATGTAGATGAGAGACATACTCATCCTGATCCAACCACTTTGGGGCTTTCTGAGTTCCAAAAGGTCAGCTTTAGTCCCAGGCACATGGTCTGTGCTGCTTCGCTAGTTCCACAGAGAGGGTCATTTAAATTTTTACGTAGTTACATTCCCTTCCCCGGATGGGATCAATTTCTGGAAACTTGTCTTCAACCACGCTCACCAGTCTATTGCCTTTAGACGTCTTGATGCTGCTTGACTGATTCTGAGTTATCAGGTGCACGTTCCTGAGGACTCCAGTATCTTGTGGAAGGAACCTTCCTTCTCATGAAATGTCTTTGTCCTGAAAGTTCTCCTTGTCTCAGAGTTCACTAGCACAACGAAACCTTACAAGCTGGCCCACTTTTGGTCACATTAGTCTGTGGTACTACATTTCCATCCTTCTACTTTCTATCTAGGCTTACCCTGCATATACCTAGATATTTTATTTTTCATACAGCCTAACAATTCCCATTGGGAGTTTCAGTCTGAGTTTAATGGAAATACTGACATGATGAGGTTTAAATTTAGCACCTGGATATTTTGTATTTGTTTTGTCCTCCTCTGCACTCTTACTGTCCTGCCTAGTTTGGATAAGACTCATGTTTTACAAACTTGTTTCCTTTAGATTTGCTATGTATTTCTTTTCACATAGCCTTGGCTATCCTGTAACTCACTCTGTAGAACAGGTTGGCCTTGAACTCAGAGACCCACCTGCCTATGCCTCCCAAGTGCTTGGATTAAAGGCATGTGCCACCACTCCTGGCTATGATATACTTTTCAACAGTGTACCTTCAGATAATACCTAGCATTTGTGCTCAGCTTCTTATATTTTTGTGATTACTATTGACACGGTTGGCAATGATGAATTCGCTCAGCTTTTGCTGACTGAAAATGTCTTTATTTTAGAAAGATATTTTGAAACACAGAATTCCAGGCTGGCAGTTTTTTTGTCTTTAACTTTGAGGATGTCCCCAGCCTTCTAGCTAGCATAGTCAGAGGCCAATGAGTAGTTGGTGGCCATCAAGGAGTTGACAGCTGTCAGTCACCAAGGAATCAGCAGTCACTGAGAACTTGGCTGCAACTGAGGGGTTGGCAGTCACCAAGGCGGCTCTGATCATTGAGAAACTGGTTGTCACTGAGAGTTTGGCTGTCATTGAGAAGTCATCTGCCAGTCACAGAAAACTTGGCTGTTAGTCACTGAGATTTTGGTTCTCATTGAGAAGTGGACTACCACTGAGAAGTCATCTGTCATTCACTGAGGAGTTGGCTGATCCTGAGAAGACAGCTATCGGCCACTAACCAGTAGGCACTCAGCAGTCCCTTGGGCAGACTTTGTTCCTTGGGAGCACACACATTTCTTCTGGATGCCTTTGCATTTTCCTTAAAATTTTTTTTTACATTGTGTGTGTGTGTGTGTGTGTGTGTGTGTGTGTGTGTGTGTGTGTGTGTGTGTGTGTTTTATGTGTGTACCTGTGCCAGGCACACATGTGGAGATCAGAGGACTTGTGGGAGTTTTTCCTCTCCTTCTACCATCTGGGTCCTAGGGGTCAAACTCAGGTCATCAGGCTTAGTGGCAAGCACCTTTTCTCAGGCCTGACTTGCTTGGTATTCGTTCGATTTCGTGCTCACTGAGCTGCCTCTTTTATGTCTGCATTTATAGATTTGGGGAAATTATGGCTATTATTTTGTCAAATATTTTTTTCTGTCCCTGAAAGGTTATCTGACCATGTTTTTTTGGGCTACTCATTTCCTTTCTGTGTATTTCCTGCCCATGCTCACTGGGACTGCACATTGCTAACCTCCAGGTTCTCGTGTCTCCCTCAGAGCATCACCCACCAGGATTTTCTCAGGTATGACATGGCATGAGTTTGTCTCTTCCCACAAACCCAGTACTCATCTCATAGGATCCTTTCCAAGTGGCTGGAAAAAAGGGGTGGGGACCAAATGTGGATCAGCAGCAGGGCTGGTCAATAACGACCTAGCCTGGTTGAAGTTGTCCTGGAAGTCCCGGACCCAAGTTGGCGTCACTCTTGGATCTTCCAGCTCCCCTAGGCAGGCCAATTGCTCTGGCCTTTCCATTATAACTGGAGAGGCTTCTCGATTGACACAAACCCCAGACACAGATTCGGCTTCTAGGTTTTCCTGCACACACGGCCTGGAGTGCAGTGAGGGTCTACTCCTGACTGTCCATCTCTTACCCACGGCTACAGAACTCACTACACAGCCAAAGCAACCTTGAAGGACACAGGGCTGGGCTCTGACATTGGAGGTGGACCTGCGATTTTGGGCTGCTTTCCCGGATAGGATGGTGCCTTAACCGAGGACTAGTGCACATTGCTAATCATGGCCAGAAAAGCATCTGTAACCGAGGAATTAGCAATGGTTCAGTTATATCTGGTGATGCCTTGGTGGCTGTGCTGCTGTTCTAAACGGCCCCTTCGCCCTCTCAAGGTCCTTCTCCGCCCAACTGTACTCCTGCCTATGGTCTTGGGTATGGCCAGGGACCATTCTGCCCAGTGAGGCAGGAGGTGACTGACATACCAACACACAGTACAGACCCCTCTCCTCCCTGCCATCTGACAGGCAGTCTCTGGAGGGGCTGGCCTGTCAGCCTGGGACAGTGACAGTAACAGTGGGCAGGCTATATGGGAGGATTTTGAGGGAAGAAAGGGAAAGGAGAAACAATGTAACTAAATTACAATCTCAAAATCAAACAAAACAGTGGGCAGAGCTGCCCTGTCCTGTGTGAGAAACAAGTCTACTTTGCTGACCTTGACTCTCTGTGGCCCTTATCTGTTACTGTGTTACCTGGCCCGGGCCGAGATTACCCTCCTTTCATGCTGGAATACTTTGCTCTAAGAGCTTCTATTGGTGAAATTCTGACACCACCAGAGAGAGAATCTTTTTCTGTAAGCCTTCATTGCTATCTCTTAAAGCCTGTATCAGTCCCAATAATGACTCATCTTTGTTCTTGTTATTAAACCAGTGTTTGAACACTGTGTGAATTATTACGATGAATGCCAAAATGGTACAGGCCAGATATGCCTTAGGAAGGTTGTATATTTCCAGGAAGATGTCATTCATCATACAGGCAAAAAGGTTTTCAAATTCTTGTGAGGTAATGTTGTCAGCCATATTACAAGAATTACTCAAAATTTGTTAGTCAATTTTAAGGTGTAAAATTATCAAGTACTTTTACTTGAAACAATATGTTTACCTTTCGTGGTTTTGGGGGGTGTAGTAGCACTTTTCAGCCAGCAGGTGGCGTTGGTACAGCTCCAAAGCAGGGCCTGCTGGTGATCTTGGCTGACTGCAGCTCGCTGGAGTCAAGATGGCGGGAGCCGGAGCCGGAGCCGGCGCCGGCACTCAGGAAGCCGGGGAGTGCCTCTTTAGCTGGTCTTGGGGCTAAGAACCGTGTAGGCATTCCCTGGTTATATGGAACTTTGTAGGCAGGTTTAGGTACCCGCTAGCTGGGGAGGAGGCTGAGGGTGGGAGCCACCCAGGCCTTTGGAATTTGCCCCACGTTGGGCGCCAGATATTGGTGAAATTATTAAGGCCACTCCACGTAGTTAAGAGATTTATTTAATGGTGTAACTTACAAATTAAGGGATAGGTAGGTCGCGGGGTCTGGGGAAGGTGTATCGCAGTCCAGCGGTGTTCTCTGGAGCTCTGCTTGGCCCATCTCTACCGTCCAGGGTCCCGGAACAGAGAGAGCGCGCTGGCCCATCCAGATCTCGGGTCTCCAGGCACCTCCCTTGGCCCCGCCTTGTAGGCGTGACAGTTGCCGAAGTCTCAATGGGGGTTGGAACTTCCAGATCAAAGCTGGAATGGCTACCCACTACAAGCTTCCATCCCCAAGACCAGAGGTTTCTACCTGGGACCACAGGACATGTGCTACACCAAGGTAAACAGCTGTCAGCCCTGGGGCTGCCTCTTTCCTGATTCAAGGCACAAGAGAAATATGAATGTATCAGATGGGAAGGTTGGTCCCAAAGACGTATGAGAAAGGGCCACTGTCATGAGACTGGGTAGGATGGGCACAGAGGTGCATTGTCACTGCCTTTGGAGCCAAGTGGCTCTCCATGTGCCTCTTGGCATTGTCATGATGACTGGGACGAGGGTGCTACCAAATCTGGGGTAGTGGAGCACAAACAGGCACTGGGAGAATCTGTGAACAGGTGCCATCATACGGCGAGACACAGGAATGAGGATGGGTCAGTCATGAGATTGTGCACTTGCCTGACTGGCCATGCACATACTTGTGTGCTTGTGTACATGCTTGTGTGTGAACTTGCTGTGCTTGGGTGTGAACTTGCACATCAGTTGGTTAACTGGTTACTCATTCTTTCCACTTCTTGGGAACCCCTATCATTTTATACAGAGAACATCAGGAGTGGTGAGCAGTGAACTTTGAAACTCAGTTTTTCCGTCAGAAGACGTTTAGACTGGCTCTTGACCAAACTCAGCTCATCCAAAGGTTGAGGCTGTTGGAATTCATCTTCCTGGGAGAAGATATAACCTCAGGTTTATAGGTATGACTCTTAGCACCATGCTAGAAGATGCACAGGAATGGAACCGACAATCTGCAAAGCTGGGGGCGGTGGTGGTGTGGGGTACAAGTGGAAGATGCTGGCTACCCTCACCCTGGCTTCATATGGAATCTGTAGGGCAGGCAGCTTTCTTAAAAAGACCTGGAGTGGCTCTGATTCCTGTGAGATGCTTGTTGCAGGTGAGTTCCAACTTCCGCATGGCAGAACTGGACAATGGGAGCGGCAGAGACAGATCCTGTCTGACAAGCGCAGGGCCCCAACATTTCAGCATGTCGTTTGCCTGGTTGCTGTCCTGCACGTGTGTGGCTAGTTTGTGCTTGGAGCTACAGTATTTCCTGTGACCTTGAGCAAAATGATTATAGGTGGCAACTTCCCAAACCAGCTCTGCATGGAGAGCATGCAGCTCATGTCTTGGTTTGAATCTTTAAAAAATTGTAAGCAAACCAGACATGGTGGTGTATGCCTTTAATCTCAGCACCTGAAGGCAGAGGCAGGTGGATCTCTTTGAGTTTAAGGTTAGCTTAGTCTACGGAGTGAGTTCTAGGGCAGTCAGAGCTGGTGAAGACCCTGTCTCAAAAAATAAGTCAAGGCCGGGCGGTGGTGGCGCACGCCTTTAATCCCAGCACTCGGGAGGCAGAGCCAGGCGGATCTCTGTGAGTTCGAGGCCAGCCTGGACTACCAAGTGAGTTCCAGGAAAAGGCGCAAAGCTACACAGAGAAACCCTGTCTCGAAAAAACCAAAAAAAAAAAAAAATAAGTCAAAACAAATTTAAAAAATCTTAACCACACTTAGTGTCAGAGTCGATGGTCATTAAAAAAATGACAAGTTCATCAAGAAGCACAAAGGAGAGGGATGGAAAGATGGCTCCGCTTTAACGAACACTTGCTGTTCTCCTGGAAGTCCTGGGTTTGATTCCCAGCACCCACATGGCAGCTCACGACCACCTGTAACTTCAGCTGTAGGGTATCTGACACCTTTGATCTGACCTGCGAGGGCATCTGCATTCATGTGCACATATACATACTTAAAACTGATAAAAAAAAATCTTAAAACACAGGGCATAAGCAACACTTGCTAGATAGTATCAGGTTAGACCACATTTTCTCACTGTATGGGGCCCAACCACACGTCCTGGTGACCCACCACCCTGGCAAACATCAGTCACTTATTCTGGAGATTGACTGAGGTTCTTAAGCTTCTGCAGCAGCATTTAGCTACTGAGTTATCTCTTCAGTCTTCACCAAACCTCTTTGAGGGTGTAATTCTTTTGCTGCTGTTGTACTTCTATTTCTCCATTTTTTTATACTGGTTTCATAAGATGGATCTGCCGACAGATGTGCGTCACACACGCTTCACACATGCCTCACACAGAAAAACTACAGAATCGGCCCAGCAGATGCAAAGAGATGTATGTGTCACGTGAATGACAGCTCCTGGTTCCAACACTGCCAGGAAAGCTTCCACACACAGCTGCTGGCGCTTTCCAGGCCTGAAAGATGAGCTCACCTCGATGGGCTTTCCTACCAGGCTAAGGGATGCCTGTTGTCTTTCCACCGAGAGGCGTGTAACAAAACACACTCCAGCCTGTACAACTTTACATTGTGTCGTGTTTATTCCACGGAAAACCTGAAGACCGCACCCCAAAGGAGCCCGCAGGCAGGGTGGGCGCTGCCCCTGCCCCTGCCCACTATGTACATTCACAGTTCTGACGCGGACTGAGGTTACCAGCAAGAGTAATCAGGAGATTGAACATCCGTCCCAGGTCTGCTCGGGATTTCCTCAACATGCCCAGTGGCATTCCACAGGAACCCTTCACTTGCAGATGGTGGGGCAGAGCCCCAGCCTCGGGACATCTTAGTTCATTAGTCTCCTTCATTGGCCTTTTAGTGGCTTTTCTCTTCTGGAAATTTGTACTCTATAGTTATAAAAACCAACCAGTTGGCTACGAAGGCTGTGTTCACATTTCATTCATACCTAACAAGCTAAGAGCCCAGAAATCAAGCTCCCTGCCCATCCTGCGGCAGTGTGGCGCTGTGTGACTGAGGTTGAGGGGTTCTGTTTATGTATTTCTCTTGTGGGGAGCACACACTAACGCTCTCTGAGAAAGTCGGTCAACACCTGTTCCTGCACTTACCAGCCTGGTTGTCACTTTCTACAGCAACACCCCGAATGTAAAACCTAATTCAGGAGTAAAAAACAAAACTCCAAAGCAACCATTGCTTACGAAACAAACTAACCCTATGGTCACCATTGTGCTTTAAGGATGAGTTTGCCATAAAAAAGGATGAAACCAGGTAATGCCGAAGGTGGCGGCCTGGACCCTGTTCCTTCCCGACTTCATGGGGGGCCAAGCACAGCAAACTGTGGTCTGTCACCCCCACAGAAGAAGGCCACCTGTGCTCAGAGGGTGGCTGCTCTTCCTAAGTCACCATGGTAACTGGTGCAGAGGAGAGGGTTGCGGGGGCTGGACAGGACCTCCTGGCCCACCTCAGTATGCCTGCTCCAGAGCTAGAGTGACATCATAAAGACGAGGGGACGCCTTCCAGTCCTTTCCCTCTGCCTGATTCCATCAATGCTTTTACCAGTTACATGAAGTAGATTTTGTTACATTGAAACCGAAATACCAAACTGGCAATGTTTATAAAAAGAGATGGGGAAAGCAGGTCCCAGGGCCAGTCTTTGTGGCTAAATGTCCCATGGTCCTAATCGGGAGGAGGGCAGAGAGGCCCTTTAAACTGTGGCCACCGGAAACAGTCTCAGAGTCTATCAAAAACAAGCCTGGAAATAAATATCTGTATGTTAACACGAAAAATGAAGTAGAAAACCAATTTTCTTTCTTTTTTTAAAAAAATGTTGAATGTTTTCCAAAGTACCTAAGTGAGGTTTATAAAATAGTCATGAGCTCCTGCACAAACACAGAAACATTATAATCGGATGACGCTCCATCACACTGGGAGCCAGAGACAGCAGGGGCACTGGATCAGGACAGGGTGACTGTTCCAGGAGAGGTGTGTGCAGAGGCCCTGCACTGTGCACACCACACAGACGACGACGAGGGGAAGAGACTGACACAAACTCAAGACCAGCGTGTTCCAGGTGAGCACACCATCATCCCTGTGCCCACTCAGCCTGTGGAGTCCCGCCCCACAGGAAGGCCCCGAGCACCCACCTGCCTACCTGCCTGCCCGCCTGCAAAGGGCAGGTGGGGGACACACACAGCTTCCCTGCAAATGCCCAGCTGGGCCCTGAGACAGAAAACAAATACATCACAAGTCTTTTGGACCTCAGGTCTGCAGACCCACAGAGACGGCGTGAGAAGACAGGGAAATGCAGATGGCGGAACACTCAAGCAGGCTCCAGGCCACTGGAGGCAGGCGGCGATGCAGGAGGGGCCTCGTTCCTCCGCCATCTCCCATTCTAGTCCACCTTCTTACAAAAATTCTTTCTCCCAAAGTCTGAGTTTTCAGGGCTGAAGTCAATGCAGAAGCCATTGGGAGTTGGTGCTGGGGGTGTCTGTGCACAGTTGTCAAAATGTGTCTGATCAGGGTACAAATAGTCCTCCGCGAAGTCAGGGTACATTTCTGCAAACCCACAGAAGTCATCTGCAAAACAAGGAGGTTGATTATTAGGACCGAGAGAGCCCCCAGAAAGGTGAATTTTGTAAGAGAAGTCATCACGCCAACACCCCGTGTCGATGACCGGAAATTCCTCAGGCCAGGGACTAGGAGCAGGGCATGGCAGAGAGGCTCAAGGGTGTGTGGGTGTTGGTGGCACAGCGGAACCCTCCAGGAGAGCAGCTTCTGCCTTGTGTGTGCTCTAAGCATTAAGCTTGCTTCTAAATGACAGGGAGAAACTGAACCCCTGACCATTGTATTTTTTCTGGGGAACATTCTTCAGGGGGAGAATCTGAGGAGAGGGGGTAGCTTGGTGTGTGGAGATGGGGTAGGGACTCCACTCATGTCCCCAGGCCTTCTGAGGCTATGCCGCCTCCCCGCACATCTGGGCTGCAGTGCCCACTACATCCTACCCCTGCTTGGGGTGACACTTACCAAATGTGATTCTTCCCTTCTCCTCTTGGTCAATAGCCCGGAACAAGTCAGTCACTGTTAATTCTGACACACCCAGTGCAGTCTTGAGGATGCAGGACAGGTTGGCCTCATCTATGCTGCCGTCCTCAGGCGATCCATACATCTGCAAGGGGCAGTGAAGTTACTGTAGGGACCCTCCTTCTGGTGTTTGCCAGGCATGGTACATTTTCCCTGGTGGTCCTGATCCCACCTTGTAAAAACAGCTGGCACCCTTGAGCGGGTGGTGCCTATAAGTACATGGTCAGGTACCGGGCAGAGAGCCATGCCTCTGTTTCTACTGGCCTCTGCAGGTCCCTCATGGACACTGCACACACATGTTGAGACTTGGATGCTGTAGTAACTGCGGGAGCAAAGATGGAGCAGAGACTCGGCTCCAGCAGGGAGCATCAGAAGGGCTCAGTGTGCCAGGGAAAAGCTGGGGCTGCTGGGTTCTGGTATCAAGAACCGGGCAAGCAGAACAGTGTGCCTCCCATGCCACCTAGTGGCCAAAGGATAAACTGCAGCATCTTTGGGTGATCAAGGGGACAAGGAACTGAGGTTGTGAGGCTGTGGTTTTGAAGCAGGCCAAGGACTAAAAGTTTACATACATTTCTAATCAGAAGACTTCACCGAATGGGAAAATGGACTATTAGGTGTCCCCAAGACCCCTACGTGAAAGTTTTTCTACGGGAGTGACACTAACATGGAAAACAAGAAGGGACCCCAAAGGGGCGGGAATATGTATTTGATTTCACCTCCAGGAGTATCTAGGAGTATATGTGTCTCTTGGGTCTTACGGCCACAGAGCTGTTCCACACCTTGATATCTGGCCCTAACTGTGGTGCTGCAGCGCTGCACAGGAAGCTAAGGAACTCATTCACTTTGCAAAGCTGGACTCTGCTGGAATCTTTCATTGGTCTGCCTATGCTCTTAGACTGGGTGGAAAGGTATTTCTATCTTCCCAGAAAGTCATGGAACACCGAGCCTTGCTAGGACACTCCCCTGACACCTTGTCACTGTCAACACTGTCCCATGTTCCCAGGGCCATTATATCTTGTGGATAGCCGATGGGTGCAGGTGGGGTACGGGGAAGTCTGAGAGGTAGCAGCTGGCCCAAGGAGTGAGCGGGAATGTGAGCAGGTGCCTATCGCAGTGGGGATATGGCCACAGCATGACCGCCAGGATGCTCGGCTGCCTGCCACACTTGCTCCGTCAGGCAGCTGTGAGAGGCCTGGACTGAGTGCCGCTTGCCGCCATCACCTACGGCAGATTCTACCCGAGGACATCAGAGACCAAGTGGGGCTGAGCCATCGGAAGAGAACACAGTGTAGGTACAGGTCAGGCTTTTCTGGACAGCCAGCAGTGTTGACACCATAGAGTTAACTCTCCTGGAGTGGCAACTGGGGACACGTCTCAGCATTACTCTGGAGTGGTACACCAGATCAGTACAGAAAGGAGCTCTGGGAGGCCGTGAGAGATCAGGGTCCCTGATACCTCTGAGCATATCTGTGAAGGTACTCCCAGAGAATCCCGACTAAGAGGGAAAGAACCACTATGAATGAGGGTGGCACCATCCCATCAGCCGCTGTGAGCTGAGCACCAGCATTCCCCTGGCTCAGGTTTCTGGCTGTCATTCACCGCAAGGCAGGCAGCCGCCTCACACTCCTGTTGCCATGTTTTCTCTGCCATGCTGGATGGCATCCTTCAAATGACAAACCCGAACAAATCCTTCCTCCCTTAAGTGGCTCCAGATTTATTTCATTATTTATGTGTCTGTGTACCCGAATGTATGTTTACGCACCATGAACATGCAGGTACTCACGTGTGTGTGTGTGTGTGTGTGTGTGTGTGTGTGTGTGTGTGTGTGTGAGGCTACTCACCACTCTCACATTTCCCCAGAGTGCTCTTGAGTAGGAGCAGCAGCAAATATTAGATAGAAGGATTTAGAGTATGGAGATAAACAGATAGAAAATACAGGATAGCCTCAAGAGGGCCTGGAGCCTATTCCATCGGGCCCCGACTGTCTCTGCCCCAGGGTATTTATAGAAATGCCAAGGGGTGGAGCAAAAGACGCCCCCCACCCCCCCTACAGCCAAGAGCAGACCATCTCAGACACCTGCACTCAGGCCTGTGGTCCAATCATCCTCTCTATGAAGACCGGCTGGGTAAAGCCACTAGGAAACCTGAAAATGGGTTCCCACACCCACAGAGGCCAGAAGGAACCATGGTGTGGTTGTGAGCCATGTGAGGTGGGTGTTGGGAACTGAACTCAGGTCCTGTGTAAGAGTAGCAAGTGAGACATCTCTCCAGTCCCTCAAGTGGCTTCTTGTTAGGTATTTGGTTATAGTAATGACGGAGGTGGTGAATACAGAAAATTGGTAACAGGAGTTCTTAGGCCTTTGGGACTTTAAAGGGGGACACTGTCTAGTGTGGAGGTGCAGGCTAGGAGGTACTTCTGGTCATGACTCTAACAGTGTTAACTGAAGAGGGAGATGCACCTTGAATGATAGGGTGGCATCCCATAGGCTGGGGTTCCAGGCTGGATAACGGGGTAAAAGCCAGAAACCAGCTGAACATCAACATTCACCTCCTGATTCCTAACTCCAAATGCAACACAACCAACCACTTCACAGCCCAGCCTTCATGACTTCCTCACTATGACTGTCTCCCCTCAAACCGTGGCCCCAAATGAACCTCTCCTCCTATAACATGCTTCTTGCCAGGAATCTGTCACAGTAATAGGAGGAATGACTAACAGAAGCACAAATTCCACTCAAGGAATCTACTTGCCTTGAATGCCAGTTGGATGGTGGCCAGGGTCTGGGAGGGCCTGCACACCACGGACAAGGCGACCACATATTCTCGAAGGTCTATCTCACCGC